TGTAAAATTTTAAATTAAAAAAAATAAATTTTAATTTTAAGTTTAAAACAAATGAATAAAAAACTAACATGTGATATTTGTAATTAAAATAAAAATTAATTTTATTATTTTTAAGATTAAAATTAATAATAATTATGCAATCATTATTTTTATTCTCGGTCCTAAAGACACAAAATATATAACTTTTTAATAAATTAACATGAACAAAGAGTTTTACTAAAAGTATTTAAAATTTTTTAATACATGAATTATATTTTTATTAATGTTTAGTCTAATTTAAAAAATATTTTTGTATTAGTAATTGTTAAATTAAAAAAATAATAAAACCCACTTAGAATTCATTCATGTGGAACAAATTAATCAAAAAAACTTCCATATCCCAGAATCGTACCAGATTCATCACTCTTCTTGATGGACAATATATCAGTTCAATTCAACTACAGTAAATTATCCTAATTAAACTATAATTAGTGTGGGAATTATCTTTAATTAATCAAACTCCCAATTAGGATTCTCAATTCTCTAACAAGTGGCATGACGTTTTCAAAATGTTTAGTTTAATTTAATTTAATTTCCTTTTTTTTTTTTTGTTGGATGAATAATTTAATTTCTTTTCAATTTACAAAAACACATATTCATGCCCCACCTTCCTCCAGTCCTCCTCCACCCCTCTTTCCTTGCCCATATAAATGCTGTGAACAAAAGGAATATAAACACACATATCACTATCTATCTATTTTCCTCCCTCTCCTCTTCCCCCCTCCCCCCCATCCCTCTCCCTGTTGAATGTTTAGTTCCATCCTCCACTTATCTCTCCCACACAACACAAAGCAAAACAGATTCAAAATTTACTCATTAATTCTCCCTCGTGGATAATTAACCCCCCTCTTATTCTTAATCACTCCAAATTTCCAGGAAATTTTCTAGGAAGAATCTAATCTCTATAGATCTTTAAAATAACCCTCCAATCTTTACCATTTAATCCCCCCCTCACCGGGCCTAATCTCCCCCACCCCCACCCCCCCTTTCCCCCCAACAGTCACTTTTTCCTTCTTCCTTCAGTTTAACTTTCTATAGCTACGTTTAGCTAACTCAACTGGGTACCTGAATAAACATTTTTCCAACCCATGGAGGAGTACCATTGCTTGAGAGAGATAGAAGGGAAACAAGCTCATGATCCTATGTTTTTGGAAAAAATGACCAAGTCTGCGTCTCGCTGCGTGTGTTTTACCTGGCCTGTTATAGTCGGGGCAGGACCATCGGGGCTGGCTGTGGCGGCGTGCCTGAAACAGAAGGGTGTGCCGAGTGTGGTTCTAGAGAGATCTAACTGCATAGCGTCTTTATGGCAGTTGAAGACGTATGATCGACTTCAACTACACTTGCCTAAGCAGTTCTGTGAGCTCCCTTTGATGGGCTTCCCCGCGGACTTTCCCACGTACCCGACCAAACAACAGTTCGTGGACTATTTGGTTGACTATGCGGAGAAATTCGACATTAGGCCACGGTTCAATGAAACGGTGGAGTGGGCAGAGTACGACCCAAAGTTAGGGTTATGGCGCGTGAGGAGTGTGGGAGCCAAGGGGGTGGAGATAGAGTATTTGTGCCAGTGGCTGGTGGTGGCGACGGGGGAGAATGCGGAGGCGGTGGTGCCGGAGATTGAAGGAATGGAAGAGTTTGGTGGGGACATAAGGCATACTAGTTTTTATAAAAGTGGGGAGGAGTTTAGAGGAAAAAAGGTTTTGGTAGTGGGATGTGGGAATTCAGGAATGGAGGTGTGTTTGGATCTTTGCAATCATAATGCTAAACCTTCACTGGTGGTCAGAGATACAGTAAGTACTCTTAGTTAACCTTCCCTTTATTTTCTTTCAAAAAAAAAAAGAAAAGAAAAAACCCTTTAAAGATTTTCTTTAATCATTTTGCGGAAAAAAAGTAGCACCTCCAATTGATTCTTGAACAAGTTTTCTCATCACTTTTAATTTTTTTGAAAAAAAGTTTCGGTCTGATTCCATTATAACAAATTGACATATTAGCAACAGCCCAGATGGGATTTTATTTTTATTTTTTTTTATACTTATTAAGGAATAGTACTCCCCACAAATTAACTGTTCTTCTAAAGAACAATAATATGACCACTTCCAATGTTTATGGAATTCGATTGATGTGGTAAATGTTTGGATTCCTTTGAATATGTCTTGACTCGCATGATTGATTCAGGAGTGCATGTTGATAAAACTGTAAGAAGTATTTGATGACTTCAAGTTCCAACAGTTTTGTTTGCTCAGGGAAATGATGATCAGAGTAGATTTAGAAACATAAAAAAGAACACTGATCTTTCACTTTCTTGAGATTCCCAGGCATGCGCAAAGATTGGACAGAAACTTAGGAATTATAGTATATTGTCTTAATCATGTTTCTGCACTTTTCTTTTCATTTCCTCCTTATGAGTTATGATTAGTTTTTCTCCAAGATATGTAGAAATGGCCTGGATGAAATCAGTAGATATATCTATCTTTTTCCTCTTTTTTTTTTTTTTTTTTGCTCTTTTTAGGCCTATAATTTTTGTACCTTATATTTGGTTTTAACCTGTTTTGATTTGGTTTAAAAAAAAAAAAAATTGAAGGTGCACGTCCTACCACGAGCGATTCTGGGAAAATCAACTTTCGGGCTGTCCATGTCGTTACTCAAGTGGCTGCCCACGCGACTTGTCGACTGCATCCTCCTCCTGGTGTCGAGGTTCATGCTCGGCAACACCGCCCGCTTCGGATTGGGCCGGCCGCAATTGGGTCCCCTCGAGCTCAAGAACCGGTCCGGTAAGACGCCAGTGCTAGATGTTGGCACCCTGGCCAAAATTAAAAGTGGAGACATTAAGGTGCCCTTTCCTAATTACCTTTAATTTTTCTCAATCACATCACTTTTTTCCCTTTTGGCCTACTTTTGATTATGTATTTGTTCCTAATTTGTTTTGTTTTATATGTAGGTTTGTCCCGCCATCAAACGCTTAAAACAACATACCGTTGAGTTTGTGAATGGCAAAACGGGGAGTTTTGATGCTATCATTCTGGCAACTGGGTACAAAAGCAATGTACCACGTTGGCTAAAGGTATCTTGATGTTTTTTTTAATCTTGATTCTTTTATAGGGATATTATATACTTTTTATTACACCAAGTTGGGGGAAAAGATATGGATATGGTGATAACAAATAATAATAAGGTACCGTTTGGATGGTCAGGAAAGGGAGATGTTTTCTGAGAAAGATGGGTTCCCTCGAAGGCCATTCCCGAATGGATGGAAAGGTGAAGGTGGGTTATACGCGGTGGGGTTCACCAAACGTGGCCTTCTAGGTGCATCCATGGATGCAAAAGAGATTGCAGAAGACATTAAACAGTGTTGGGAAGAGAAGGGAAAAAACCAACCACTTGTTAATTTGAGTGGAAGGAATTTAATTCTCTTAAATAAAGTTTTGAATTCGAGTTTTGTGAATGAAGAAACAGACACTAGAAGAGTTTCTCATTTATGAGATCTGACATGACTCGATTTTGATTTAATCGAGATCCAATGTGATTGCCAGATATGGAAAGGTCAGTATAAAAAAAGCAAAACACCACTCCTCCTTTGCCCTTTTGCTTTTGCCACAATCAATGTCACCATGATTAACTTTTTTTTTTTTGGTTTGTAGAGAATGGCAGAATTTTGCAGGAGAAAGTGAAAAAAAGAAAAAAGAAGAAGAAGAAGATCGATTTCATTAGAGGATTCTGACTAGCCATGACATGGAGCCAATAGGCACAACTTGGGCGCTGTACCAATTTCATTCCTCCTCCAACTGACGAGAAAAGGGGAAGCTAGATTATGAAGAAGAAATGCATCAAAGAAGCCAGGCAATGGAAAAAAGGGGGAAAAGAAAGGATTGGTGTTGTAGGGGGACCTCAAGCTTGAACACATCTGTACATTTTGTACATTACCAATTTTTCTCTGATTAGGTATGACTTTTTAGAATGAAAAAAAGGAGAGGGTGTCTAGTATTAGTTTATGTTTTTGGTATAGATCTTTGGTGTCTAGAAACTATATTGAACTTTGACTAATCTGAAGTCGAGTTGAGTCGAATCGTAAAGGGGGAAACTCTTTTAGTGTTTGTTTCTTCATTCACAATATTCAAACTCGAGATTTTATTTAGGAAGAATCGAACTCCTTTTACTCGGTTCAATATGTTATTGGTCTAGTATCAGTTTATGTTTAAGCTACATTTTCATGGATTTTGGGGAAGGATCAGATTAGCTCAGTATAACAATTTGATTGTTTGGTTCAATTCTCTTCCTTTCATATTAGGTTTTCTCTTCATTTTTTTATTTATTAAATTTCTCCTTTTTGGGTTGTGTTTGGAGATGATGATATGGAGAAATGACTTTTCTTATGAATTCCATCTTTTCATTTAATTTCCGCAGTGTTAATGCTTCATACCAAACATGACTTGAGGCCTAGACCGTGTACACTTTTCTGTTATTGAGGCAATTTCACTGTCAAAATGATTTCATTCCCAAGTAGATGTTTGGACCACTTCTTTATCATCATAAAGTTAAATTATTTTCATTCATAATTGCCATGGATCTTATTAATTGTTTTGAGATACCACTCTACTATTACCTCAATTTCATTTGGAATTAGAATCAGTAATAATATCTCAAACCAACTTTTGCGGTGATTTTATTTCCTATTGCATTTATTAGGTAAAATTGAGAGTGTAAAGTTTTCAAGTTCAAATCTCTGACTATTTATTCTCAATTCAATTAAATCATTTCAACAAAAATTTCCAAACAAAATGAAAGGGAATAGAAAAAAGTGCAGTGTGTGCTCCATTTTAGTAGTATATCGCTGTTCAAACTGATTTCCCAAACACTATCATGCCCATATGAAAAGAAGCTTTTGCTAAGCTAAATGAGCAAATGATTCAGGCACTGACCCTTCCTTTTTGCTTATATGAAATAGGCAAGCAGATGTGATTTTCTTAGGATCTTTTTTACCTAAAGTAACCCAAAGTTTTCCAACCATAACAAGCCTGTATCCAGCAATTGTTTGTCAATCACAATAAAGTTGAATTGACATAATTCCTCAATTTATTTAAACCCCAGAATAAATCTCTGGGAATGATGATAATCAGTTTCATTACTTTGGGAAAGTGATTCTAAATTCTCCTGTAATAAGATATTTGGGTCAAATCAACAAAGTATTGCAGTGTTTATTATGAATTGGTTAAATGCTAAATTTAGTCCCTCAACTTTATGACATGCACATTTTTGGTCTCTCAACAATTTTTTGTATTTTTTTGATCCATCAACTCTAAAAATTGCACAGTTTTGGTCCTTTCATCAATTAAGTATGATATGACAGTTAAATAATTTCATGTGGCATTGTCTTTTAATTTTTTGATGACGTGGTAATAATTTATATTATAATTATGTTATATAAATAAATAAAAATGCCACATAGATTAATGTTTATATTTTAATTAAAAACAAATAAAATTACTTTATAACCCTCACCCTCCCAATCCCTCTTCTTCCCCTTCTTTCTTTCTCTTTCTTTCTTTCCTACCTTGGGTCGATGGAAATAGGCTGGGTTTCGTTGAACCCAGCCTTGTTGCTTGCGCAAACCAGCCTTGCTGTTTCGACGTTGGGTTCATGTTTTTTCATTCTTCTTTCGATTTCCATTCTAGTTGTTAATAAATTTGGGAGTTAATTTACAATTTGATTGTATTTTTATTAGAATTTGGTTAGAGTTTGATTGTATTTTTGTTGAAATTTGATTAGAGTTTGATTGATATTGTTTATTGAAGGGTTAATTTGATTTGATAAGATCTACTAGTTTTGAGACTTCAATGAAACCCAGTAGCTGAGCTCAATGACAAAGAATTTTAAGGTTCACAGACCTTTCTTTATTGGTGGTTTGCAAGCAACGTGGGAAGATGACATGTCATCAAAAAAAGTCCAAATTAGCATCTTTTTAAGTTGTCCTTGCCATGTCATAAAAAAAAATATATAAAAAATGTCATGTGGTTGAGTTAATGGCCCAAATTGATATAATGACTAATGGAGTGCATTTCGTATAGTTGAGGGATAAAAAAGTACAAAAAATTGTTAGGGTCCAAAAATGTGCAACTCACTAAAGTTGAGGGATCAAATTTAACATTTAACCTTATGAATTATATAATGTGAAGTAATCAAAATTTTTTACACATTGTATATGTTTTTTAGGATCTCATCGTTTGTGGTTTGATATTACCTAAAATTACTTGTTAGGATTATGATTAAAGTAATAACAATAAGTACAATACATATATTTTGAAGTCATTTTAATCCCAAAAAATTAATATATCATTTTTATGAGTTTTTAATATTTTTTTTCTTTATTTTCACCTTATCATTCTTTATTCACTTTAGAGTCGCAACACATTAGCTTTGTTTCCGACTCTTTCCATGAGATCTGTGAGTAACATCATCCATTCTTGCATTAACTTAGGTGAATGAATCACATTATCTCAACACCGACTCTACTCTTAATCATAAACAACACATACTCATTTCGACACTCCAATTAATTGCCTTAAATGAAGGCAATTAGAAGTGGAGATTTCTTATCAACACACTCTCACAACGTTGATCCCACCCCGTCACATCATGTGATTTGTCACTCAAAATATGATCCATCAACTCTAATTTCATTGCTAAGATCTCATCATCTCCACTCTGTTACGCATGAGTTAAAGCCAACAGTCTTTTTTTTTTTTTCTTTTTTCTTTTTTCTTCCTTTTTCAGTACATCAGCTATCTAATTTTTCATATATATATATATATACATATAAAAGAATAATACATAGAAAACTTAACCCTTATAATAAAATTAAAGTCTTAACTTTAAAAATATCAATTTTTAATAAATATTTTTAAAAATATTTTATTCATATAAATTATATATATAAATTTTTAAGTTGTTCTAATATCTATAATTATTTGATTAAGAAATTTATATTTTTTAATTATATTTAATGGTAGTAAATTTTTTATAATCAATGAATTAATTATATATATTAAATTAATATAAAAATTAACATATATAATTTACATGATTAAAAAACTAAATTTAATGATTACTTTTTGAAAATATTTATTAAAAGATATTGTTTTTAAAATTGAGACTCTAATCTTTTTTAGAATTAGTATTGATATATACCATTCTCTATGGGTGCGTTTGGTTAAAGCCAAACTTTTCCGGGAAAGATTTTATTGGGAATTTGATTAGAAAAGGACATTGATACTCACACATTGCAGTTCAATACACTTTACAATATTTTTATTAAGAAATTATTATTTTCAAATTTTAATTAAAGGAGGGAAAATTAAAACCTACAAATTTTAATGATTGAACCTAAAGGTGTTAGTAAGTATATTAATCTGAAAGGTGCACTAATCATTTTTCATTAAAAAAAGTACCATATAGAAAGTTAGAAAATACTGTATAGAAAGTTGCTAACTTTTGTAATAAAGTTAAATATGAAGTTGGGATATTAATTTTATTGTGTTTGGTAAGAAAATAATATAGGAAAAATATAGGAAAAGTTAATAGAGAAAGTTGTTAAGTAGGTATTATATAAAATAAGTTGTAAGGAACTTTTTCTCTTGAAAAAACATGAAAAGAAAAGTTTATAAATTGAAAATTATGTTAAGAAAAATAAAAACTAAAAATTTCATTTTTACCTTTTATTTATTACTATAATTTTAAATAGATAAGTATTAAAATACCCTTACAAAATCTTGGATGGAGACATTTTTCAAAAAGAAAATCATATATACACCCTCCAAAGTTACACATTTCGTTATTTATTGACGATTTTCATTAGTGTGTTATTAAAATTGACGAAAATCGTTAGTTTTGCCGTTAAAACTAATGGTTTTTATTATTTTTGCAGTTAATACTAACAATTTTCATCAATTTTAACAGCACACTAATGGAAACCGTTAGCGTGTAATAGAGTGTGTAATTTTTGGAGAATATATGTATCAGCATCATTTCCAAAATTGGTTTTCAAACACAGCATATATTAACATTGGGTCATTGACATGTTTTGAGAGCTTGTTGTAAAGCCGAATTGGGCATAACCCTTGTTTTCTCGGGGGGATGGGGAGCGGGGGTGGGGTGGGTAATTGATAAGGTTGTGATTGCTTTAATAATGGAACCTAAATAATTTAGGTTGATGTTCGTAGGATTAACTCGGCCAACTTTCATATCAATTCTTGACTAGATTCCTTTTCCTCATTCCCATTTTTTGTGTGCCGAACCTATTCATTTTCTGACTCTTGGTAAACAGGATAAAGGAGTAAGTTTGTTTGTTTACTTGATAATTTTATGCTATATAATAAGATAAAACATTTTTCCTTATATATTATGCGATTTAAATTTAAAATATTTTATTTTTATTAAAAAACTTAATGTTGAATCAATTAAGTTGTTTAATGAAGAAGCAATTTAAGATCCCAAATTAAAGAATTAGTGCTACTTCTACTCCTTCAATTTTGGGATCTTAACTTCTTTACTTAAAGATTGTTATTTTCCTATTCAAGATTTCTAATTTATAGTTATGCATTTTATTTCCCTTTTGAACTCACCTGTTTTTGTAACCTGAAAAATGTATATGGGAATTTCGCTTGCTTTGAATGTGATTTCTGAAAGTGAAAAAGGAGGATGATGCTTTTATGCATATATAAACACAGCTGAAATGAGACTGACAATACATAATTACATGGAAGAGTTAGCTAGGTATTTTTAAGGCAGCAATACTTGGTGGGGTTTATTCCGACCGCATAAAGCCGATGGATGTGTAAATGCGCCACCAAATCGCGAGCGAAACATTGCTAAATTTTGTATTACGGATTTATGTTTGTGTATGTGTATATGCACGCGCGAGCAGGTAAGTTTCTGTGTGAAGAAAACAGAGACGGATACATCAACATCAAAAGAGGGTTG